GCGTGCTGGCGCAGGGCGTCCTGGACGCCCTCGTCTGCTTCCCCCCATTGAGCCAGGACAGTTAAAGCGGTCTCAAACTGGATTATTCCTTCAATATGTTTTAGACCTTAAGTCTACTTCCTCAGATGCACTTGTTGGAAGTAAGGTCCAGAACACACTGCAGAAATAACCCAGTTTCAGAGTGCTTTAATTGCCCTGGCTCAATGCTAGGGAATCATGGGAATTGTAGTTTGTTGTTGCACCAGAGCTCTCTTGACAGAGAAGGGTAAAAGTCTCGTGAAGCTACAATTCCCAGGTTACAACTGCGAGACCAAGGTTCAAATCCCTGTTTGAGCATAAAAATCCACAGGGCGATCTTGAGCAAGTCACACTCTCTCAACCTCAGAGAATGGCACTGGGCAAACACCCTCTGAAGAAACTTGCCAAGAAAACCCTATGATAGTGTCACTATAAGTCAGAAATGACTTGGAGGCACACAACAACAAACTGAATTAATATTGTCCTGTACAGAAAACTTGTTGAAGTGTAAAAGTGTAAAAATATGTAGCAGGGTTCTTCCAGACATACTATGGTACAAAACAACCTGCAAGAATAATCCAGTTGAGGCTGCTTAACTCCCCTGGCTCAGTGCTAGGGAATTCTGGGAACTAGTTTTGTGAGACATTGAGCCTCTGTCAGAGGGCTCTGGTCTTCTATTAATATTAAGAAGAGAGAGAGAGAGAAATGAATGCATTTCTAAGCAAATTCTCTTTCAGTTAAAAAGACCTTAAGACAGTTTTAATTTTGTTTTTTAAAAAAAATTTGGCCAACAGTGTGCTTAAATGCAAAAACTAAACTCTTGGATCCAAAACACACTGCAGAAATAATCCAGTTTGAGACCGCTTTAAGTACCCTGGCTCAGTGCTAGGGAATCTTGGGAACTGTAGTTTATAGTGGCACCAGAGCTCTCTGATAGAAGGCTAAATGTCTCACAGAACTACAGTTCCCAGGATTCCCTAGCATTGAGCCAGGGCAGTTAAGGTAGTCTCAAGCTGGATCATCTCTGCAGTGTGTTTTGGACCAACATGGGATTCTTGAACCAGATGTGTTCTCCCCACTGACTCACTCCTCTGTAGGTCAGGTATTTGAAGAAAATATGGATAGGTTAGGGCAGGGGTAGGCAACCTTTCCCCTTTAAGGGCCGAAGGACT